GTAGCTAAGCTAGTGGAGCTAACTGCTGCTATGTGTTACTTGTTGCTAGTTCTACAAACAGGTTTCTGAAGCAGAACTGAGAACTAACGAGAGCTGTGACTGTTATTGATGAAGTCTTTGATTATTGATTATAATACTAGTATTTTTATGTTTATTGGATGAAGTTTAAACTCAACTGTCTTCAAACCTACGAGACTTTAAAAGTTGTTTGTTTGCAGCTACAGACACAATGAAGCTGAAACAGACTTTGACCTGTTAATTTTCTTTTGTTAATTTAAGGATGGTGAAGGTGCAGCACTGCCATCTTGTGTGTGTGATTAAAAATGTTTTCATCAGTGTGTCACATGACCAAACTGCTCCTGAGCTCTTACTCTCAGTAGGAACATAATTATTATTTAGTCGGAGACACGAGCTTGATTCGGTCTGGACATGTTTGATGTTTGGTATTTAAGATAAATCACTCTCAGACTCCATTGATCCATTTACAGAAAAGGCCCATAGAGGATCTCTGGAGAGTCTGGTCTGGACCTTCCCCAGAGTTTGTCTTTCTCACAACACAGCAGGAGGTTCTCTGCAGGATTCAGGTGAGAGGCGGAGCAGCAGGCTGGATGTAACGTATAATCACCACAAACTCTCCTGACATCTTTGTTTGCGTCTTCTATGTGTGTTGGAGCCATTGTACGTGGTTGAAGCTTCAGGTTATTGGTGACTCGTTTTGTAGTTAAGTTCTTGATCTTCTATGATGATAGATATTAATGACCCGGGCCTTGTTTATAACCGCACAAAACAGGGCCTGAAAGTGGATGAACATTTAGGAGACAGGAAACTGACGATGCAGACGTGAAGAGATGAACTGAAGCAGATTATTGATCCACTTCATCATTTACATTCGAACCAACAGCGTTAGTTAGTAGCTGTAGTGACATAAATGTTCCTTAAGAAGCTTCAACTGAAAACACCATTATGATTATTATGTAATTTCACCTGAATCTTACACCCTGGACCTATAATAGTTTTTAATATCTTCTAACGCTGCGTGTATCAGCGAGACAAGTGTGTGTAAAATCGTTGCAGTGAATGTGCACTGAAAGTAAAGAAAAACTATTCAAACTTCTATTTTCATATACGATCCCAGAGTGGAGGTTCGGATCCACAGTGAGATTCTAGAGATCTAGGATCCTCATGCTAAACTGAGTCCAGTATTAGAGAGTGAGTGGGGGAGGACATGTATAAATGGCCGCAGGTCGGAATCGAACCCAGGTCCCTGCGGGTTGAGGCTTTGCCTCATGGAAACAGATCTTGATGTGTAAAATACAGTTGTTCTTTAAGCTCTCTCTACTCTCCCTGCAGACGTCCAGCAGGTGACGGTGAGTAAAGCTGCTGTTCCTCCTGAGCAGCAGCAGTGGAGCCCCCATGTGGACCAGGAGATCCCAGTGCTCCCCCAGATTAAAGAGGAACAGAAGGAACTGAGGATCAGTCAGGAGGGAGAGCAGCTTCAAGGACTGGAGGAGGCTGACATCATAAAGTTCACATTTACTCCTGTCGCTGTGAAGAGGGAAGAAGATGAAGAGAAACCTCAGTCGTCACAGCTTCATCAGAGTCTGGCTGAGGAAAACAGAGCGGACTGTGGAAGACCAGTACCAGCCAGGAACTCAGGTCCTGATGGACATTTACAACCAGGTCCCAGGGACAAGCTTTCAAACTGCTCTGAGCCTGTGGCTGAAAACAGAGGTGGTGATTGGAGGAAGACCATGGAATCTCCCTCTTATTTAAACACAAGAATTAACAAACATCCCGTAAGTCATATATTTAAACTTGATAAAAACTATTTCACTGCTCCGAGTGTTTGGCAGTGACAGTGTTCTGCACACAGCCTCACAGTGGTGCCCTGTGTGAGGCTGTGAACTGTAACTGTTCAGAGCTCAGTCTGTGTTGTTACTCCGCTGTTGTCCACCAGGTGGACGGATAACACATGAAGCAGTTTTGTCTAATCACCTGTTTTGTGTGTGTTCGTGTCTCCAGTGCAACACACTGCCGATCGTGAGGCTCCCTCAAGGCCTGGAGAAGATCCTGGCTAATGTTGGATATGTGTAAGTAAAACACACAAAAGCAAACAAACGCACTATGACTCTTATTTTATCATCAAAGCCACGTTTTCTTTCATCTAACGTGTCTGACTGTGTTTCTGTAGGAACGGAGAGTTGCTTTACAGGGTTCCAGCAGCTCCTCCTCTTGTTGCTCCTGCTCCTCAAGCCAAACCCCTGATTCCACAGTAGGTCACCCTGACTGGCTCAGAATCTGTGGTCACCAACTGAAAAGCATAACAAACTTACTGTCGCCTAATATTTTATTTATTTATTTGTGTACCATATTTCCAGCTCACTATTCTTTTCTTCCTTCACAGTTTTACACAGTTGCTCTCATTCTATCTTTTTCCCACAGAAAGAGAAGGCGGGTAAACCAGCTGGACGACAGTAGGCCGTACATTAAGAAGCCGCCAAACGCTTTCATGCTTTTCAGAAAGGAAGAGAGGCTGAAAGTCGTGGCTGAGCTCAACAACGCCAACAGTGCAACTGTTAACACCATCATTGGACAGAGGGTATGTCTGTTAGAGTCTGCGTCACACAAACTTCTCCACAGTTTGTAAAAGATTTACGAGTTTCCTGCGAATGGACAACACCATGAAAAAATTCTTGACAGTAATTTTTACCGACACCTAGAAATTATGTTTCCTCTGCATTTATTTGTCTGTTAGTTCAAAGAATTACACAAAAGCGAGCGTCTAACTTTAGAATGAAGATTTTCTCTAAAAGATTTTTAACCCTGGAACCAGGTCGACCAGCTGCGAAATTAATTGTGAACATAAAACATTTGAATCCGACCCAAAGAAATGTCGGAAAATTTAAAAAGGGCCAAAGACTGAACATAATTATTTGAATAGTGAAGGAATCATTGTGAATGATCCGTCGCATCAATGGACAACACGACTGCAAATGTCACACAGACACACAACCTCAATAGAGGTGAACGTCAACAAATGTTGAAAATGTAACATGCAGAGCCGGTTTGGAGAATGTGGACAAACTTTCCCGTGTCCTGCCTGTTTGAGAAGTAAGTGAAATGTTGTTTTCTAGTTAACGTTGACTATATTTACTCGATTCATATTTATGCACTTCGACATCTAACGTTATCATGATATATGAAGCTAGCTGTGCAGTGATGTTAACATTGATGCTAGGTCAGTTAGCTAACTTTAGTCAAACGGATGAACTAAGTTGTACTGGTGCACAGAGACAAGTCGTTATTCGGCACATAGTTTTTTAAATCACACGGATGTCCCGCTGTGTTTCTAACATTGGTTGATCAGTTGACAAATTAGTCTTGAAAATGAAATCAATGAATCAACAGATGTTGATTTTATTCCCATGGAGATGACATGAAAATGAATTTGGTTCAGTCCGGTGAAGTTCAACAGCCTGATATTAGCCAGATTTGTCAACTCGTTATTGTACGTGTTCAGTGAACAGCTAATTAAATTCATGTTCACATTCTGGGTGCTAGCCTAACGATACTTCATTTGTTTTGTTGCAGATGATAATGCATCATCCTTTTTGTGGATCCAACCTGAACTCTGAAAAATATTCTGCAGTCGCTGTGGCAACGAAAACAGATTCTTGTTGGATGCCACAAGTCACGGTATCGTTTCAGAGTTTACTGCTGATCTGTACATACTGGATGAGAATACATTTACATTTAGGGCATTTAGCAGACGCTTTTGTCCAAAGCGACTTACAATAAGTACATTTGTCACAAGAGAGAAACCACAACATTTCACTGAAATATAGAAACAATTGTCAAGCCCTCCTCTGAGGATGGAAGAATAGAACTCTATGACTACGCAGTGATCTGTACATTATGTCGTCGTGACATTTGATTGGATTGTTTAAAGCAGGAAGTACAGTAAATGTGCCCTGGCTTCATTTCAGAGTTCAAAAGAAAAAGTACGAACCTTGGGACGGTAATTTCTCTTTGATGATGTCGACTTCTCATTTTCCTGGTGGTGATTTCTGTCATATATTTTTACTGTTCTAATGAAACATGTTTCTCTGTAGATTTCAGTGGGTGTCATGCAGATGAATGGTTCTACCCCTCGTAGTGCGTCCAGGGGCAGATGCAGAGGAATTGTTGAAAGCTGCAGAACAAAAAATGAACGTTCTGCTCGATCCTGATAGTAAAAAGATAATCAGGGTTCCAGGAACAGAGTTCGCTCTGGAACTCAGACGGTGGAGAAGTCGTACCAACACATCACACTGTTTCTCTGCATGGTTAAATAACCTCATTATAAATGTTTGAATTAATAACCACACAAGAAGAGCTGTCGACTAGAATCTTGAGTCCTTGTTTTTCCACAGATCTCAGAAACCTGAGAGATTCAGAGGAGGTGGTGAGGAGAAGTGCAGAACTCAAAGTGGCCACGCTGTTGTGAGTCGAACATTTATCTTGTTGTCCTCTTCACAAATTTGGATAAGGATGCTCATCACGTGAGAGACGCAGACACTGTTTATGTTGGAGCTTCTCTCGAATCTTAAATACGACAGTGATATATTTGTTCTATTTGCAGGTAATTGAATGGACCTGGAGCAGGACCAGGGATGATGTTGGAGAGCATTCAAGTCAAACCTCAGAGCAAGTCCTGAAAAATGTCCACATTCTGAGAATCACGTCCACAAACGTACTCTTATTTTTTCAACCAGAGGCTCCAAGAGAAGACACAACATGATGGATGAGTTCAAAAAAAGGAACAAAGACATTTAAGTGCTATGAGCAGGATCGTGTGTGTGTTCAAAACGACAAAGGATGATGTCGGCCGTCATGTTGGTGTGTTCTACCTGATGTCGGGTCACGCCCTCAAAGAAACGGCTGCACGGTGTGTGCACAACCTCCACTGACCTTCAACGAATTTCATCGCCTGTCTAAGGTCCAGATTTTACCGAAGGTCCAAACAATCTAGGACGATTTTAGCCTCTGGTTGTTTTGTGGGTTTTTGTTTGAAAGTCTCACTGTTTCTAATTGTTAGTTTGACTGTATCTCGTTACTGCTGCTGAATAATCATCGTCCGTCCTGATAATAAATCATCATCTGTAGAACTGACTCAGCGTTTGTTCCAACCTGTTTGAAGTGTTTGTCCTGTGATGATGTTCTGTGATGATGATGGTCCCAGTTTTTTATCCCAATGTTTTTCATCTAATGAAACAGAATTGTCTTTACTATTCACGTGTGGTTTATTTATTTATTTATTTATATATATAATCTTCAGATCCAAGTTCTACATGTTTCAAAATAAAAGCTCTGTAATTTAGCTTGGTTCAAAGCATGGCAGCAACAAAATGAATGTTGTGCTTTTACTTTTAAGACAAGCAAACCTAAAGAGATTCTCTTGGTCGAATATGTTGAATTAAACATAATCTAATTCTTAACATGACCTGGTGGTGATTTTGACCTGAGGTTTGACCCAGTTGTCGACCACTGCTGTTGTTTATCTGAGGACCTAGAAGGAGACACGGTCAACTTTTCCCCAGACTGAAGACACACTGCCCCCGTCAATCCATTTTTATTAATATCGAACGTGTCCAAACTCAAATACGCACGTCAAGAAAACCGTGGATGAGATGAAGGGGTCGAGACGTTTATACAGATGTTTGTAGCACGTGATACAATTGTATTATTATATTTATTTGATCTCTTTGACATTGAGAGAAAAATTCAGGGTTTCGAGGGAAAAATCCAACGTGTTTGATTTGATCCAAATAAAAATGTACATTTTCATGAGGGGTGAACTCTGAGTGATGTTGTAGTTGTGTGTTTGTGCACTGACGGTGTGTTGTGTGTCCTCAGTGGAAAGCGCTGCCCAGAGAGGTGCAGGCCAAATACTACGAAGAAGCTGAGAAGGAGAGGCAGATCCACAGTCAGCGCTTCCCCAACTGGTCCTCGAGTGACAACTACGTATGTTCACTATGCACACACTCAACTTACACATGTTCACAGCATCACACTAAACGACGCAAGACAGGTTTTCATCAACTGATGTTTTTGTGTAGGGCAAAAAGAGGAGGAGGATCAGGAGGAAGGGTCTTACCATGACTGAAGGTACAGCTGTGTGTGTGTCCATTTAACTTTTAATATGAAAATCATTCAGTAATTGTTTAATCAATCATAATTAAATATGAAACCAACAAAACAATGAGGTTCAAAAGTTTTGTCTTTATCTGAAATCTTTTTTTTAAAATAAAAAGTTTGGATCTCAAATCAAATAAATATCACACATCCTCTAAACATGAGGGATCATTGTGGCTCCGTCCCCTGAACAGAATGATCCGTCCTCTATTTTGTGTGTGAACCTGCTAAATAACAAACACTCAAAACTTGTGACTTAAGTTTGAGAATCAGCATCTACTTGTGAAAACATGTTTTTGAAGCCTGAGTGAACCGATCCGTGTCTTCACTTGTCCAGGAACACTCGATGCACCGTGAACCGTCCACAGGACACTTTGGATCCCCCCCCCACAGGGTAAACCAGCTGGAGGACAGTAGGCCGTACATTAATGTCAACACAACCCCCACCCCCTCTGTATCATTGAAATGAAATTTAATTGAATTCCAACATGAGTTTTGCAGGGATTTGAAAGTTTCACTGGATGAAACATGAGGAATCAGTTTTAAAGGTTGTTTCTGTGGGATCCATGATTTGTGTGAACAAAGTTTGACAGTCAAAGGTTGTGAATATATTTAAAACAGAAGAACCTGCTGTGTTCCACTGAGTCTGAGCTTCACTTGGACCGACTCATCAGGGGACGTGGAATGTTATGAAGCTAATGTCCCTCCGTGTTATAGTTATAGTTGTATTTCACTCTGCTAACCTCACTGTGGCGCTAGAGATGAGTCGAGCTTCNAGCCGTTTCTTCTCCTTCCTCCACCTGCAGCAGAAAGTCTTCAGCGGCGGCGCTGATCCGCTCATGTACCGACACCCGCAGCAGCTGCACGGCGCACATTTTCCTCCTTTCTGCGCACTTTGAGTCTCGGAGCGAACAAAGAGAGCCAGCGGCAGGTAAACAGAGACACCGAGCTCAGAGCCAACAGCGACCCCTGCTGGACTGGAGGACGACGAGGACACCACAGTGCTCATACTGCACGGAAATACTCTGTCAAGAGTACACGTTACACAAGTACTAAAGTATTAGCAACAAAATATTCTTAACCAGTGGTGGGAGAAGAATTCAAATCATTTACTGAAGTAAAAGTACCACAACAGTAAAGTACAAATACTTCATTACAAGTGAAAGTATGAACAGAACAAAGTAAATATAAATAGGAAAACATCATAATCCCAGAGAACGTCTTCTGGGGACATGGAATGTTATGAAGCTAATGTCCCTCCGTGTTATAGTTATAGTTGTATTTCACTCTGCTAACCTCACTGTGGCGCTAGAGATGAGTCGAGCTTCACGTCTAATATCTGTATAAATATTTCAGCCTGGATCAAAGACTGGATCAAAGACTGGATCAAAGACTGGAGCAGACGGATGTGATTCAAATATTCAGGATTTCTTTCTTTCAGTCTTAGACACAGACGCTGTGCAGAGGACAAAGAACATGTTTCTAGTGAGACGTGTTTATGTTCGTTTCACAGGCCCCTCCCCCCAGCGCTCTTCAGTTGACAAGATTTCACAGACTGTTTCTACAGTATTATCTCGTTCAAATACGCCGGTGAAAAGGTTTTTAGAAAACGGCTTTTGTGTCAGAAATTCTTTGCTATGACGATTAAATTATTTTTCCCAAACTGCCTTTTTGTCCTTCATTCAGATTCCAGACTTTCATGTGTTGGATTATTCTGGTCGATAGAAGTTCATCAGTTCCTGAAACATTCTGAGAAGTTTGATTGAAACTGTAAGAAAAGATGTTCTGTCGTTTCAGTGTTGAAGTCAAAACGATCAAAAGTCATTAGATGGATAAAACATCACTCAGGTGAAATGTTTCTCATCTAAAAAACTGCTGTTGTGTTTCAGAAGATGTTTCTATTTGGAGGGTGAAGGGACGTGAGGGTCGTCCTTAAAAATGTGTTTTATGTTTTTATTTGAACGTTTATGTCCATAAATGTTTTTCTTGTGGAGCAGCCACAGAAGTTAGTGTTTGATTCAAAGGATKATTGCTCGTGGTGAAGCCTGAATAATCAGTGGAATTATATGAACTGTTCCAAACAGGGTTTTGTAAAGAAAAGATGATTTTTCTTCTTAAAATGCATCGATTGTTCCAATGTGGGTTAAAGTTCTGTTTCTATGAGTTTCCAGTAACTTGTTGATGAAAAGCAGAAAATGTCACAAGAAGTTTGAATATATCAAAGTCACGTTTTAATAAAACTTCTGTGTWTATTTGGATTCGACCCGTTCTTCAGCAGATCTCGTTTCTCCTTCACTCCAGAAAATGTTTGGACTATTTCACCAAGTTCGTCTGAAAACATCTGTTGAGTCAGATCCTTCTGGTCAGATCAGGTTCATACTGGCAAAGTACAGTTCTCTCAAGTCRAGCAATGCATGATGGGATATATCACTCTGCCATACACCGCTTATCACGATGCATGATGGGATACAATGAGTCCACTACATAGGGTGTAATAATTCTCACTAAACATTCAAACATGGAGAACTGTGTTTGTGAGAACAGTGAGTTCAGAGAAACTCTTTAGATTCAGTTGTTTAATGAAAAACTTGATTTTTGTTGTTTTATCTCAGTTATTAAACTTTAAAGTTGGAAGTTTATAAGATTCTGATCTTTTGGGAGACTTTATGATTTGGAATCATATGTTTGCTTTTATCATTTTCTTCTGCTTTGTGTGTAACTCCACATATTCTCCTTTCTTCACTAAATGTTGACGGTCAGGTACAAAGAGCCTTAATATGGAGGACGTGTCATTAGAGGGAATCAGACGTGTGATCCACATGAACCATTAAATATAAAATCCATTAAACTTCAATGAGCTCGGAATGATGTCACACCTCAGTCACCTCACAACACTTAGCCTCATTCACCAACTATTCTTAAGAAGAAATTTCTCCTTAAATCACACTTGAGCCATTTTTATGAAGATTCTGATTTTCACTTATTTATATATAATAGTTTTCTTTTCTGGGATTTGTTCTTATTGCTCAGAATCTTTTCACACTAACTCTGACAACTGAAATAAATAATCAGTTATTGTGTTTTTCACTTTAAATATACATTTGTTTTATATTTAAATAATATTTTTAATTCCTTAAAGACATGTTTCAGTGCATGTTGTAATTGTTGTAAACACGTGAACATGTTGAAGAGAACACGCAGAATATTTGGCATAAAGTGACGCAGGCTTACGAACACGTCATTCATCATTAAAAGAACACGGATACAAACAATTGTAAGAACGTGACATGGATCTGACGGAACGTTTTCTTAGAAAACTTCTTAAGAACAAAGCAGCCATCATGGACTTTGAAGTCGAGTTCCAGTTGCAACTTCGGAGTCAGGGGGCGGTGACTCTGAGCTCTGTCTATGAAGGCCCCTCCCCCATAGCACCCCCATGTCTCATATTCTACACTAAACATTCATGTAGGTTGTTTTCACTGAGGCTGTCACTCGTCCTCTATTGTCCCAAATTTAATTTCTCTTCATTCTAAGAATCCAGATGTTTTCTTTAATCCATTAATTTAAGTTGTTAAAAACTGAACCCTCTGGTCATATACAGCATTAGTATCAACCTAGTATCAATTTTTGTTGTTTTGTCTCAGTTATTAAACTTTAAGTTGGAAGTTTATAAGATTTTGATCTTTTGGGCATTTTCATCTTCACTGCTGAAACATGATGAACAATTTGTCTTCATGCCAAATGTAAATCCATGAAGTCTGAACGTGTTTAAACACACGTGTGTTTTTTCACCAGTAACTTCTTGTTGAATCCTTTTCCACAGACGTCACACTTATAAAGTTTTTCACCCGTGTGAATGGTCATGTGCTCGGTCAGATGAACGTTTTGTTTAAAACTTTTGCCGCAGACTGAGCAGCTGAACGGTTTCTCTCCTGTGTGGATCCTCATGTGCGTCTTCAGATTTCCTTTCAGGCTGAATAGTTTCCCACACTCGCTGCAGCTGAACGCCTCCTTGGCTGAAACTTTTTTCTCAGTTTGGTTATGTCGAGTTTGCGTGGACGCACCGACACACTTGTGTGTTTTGAGTTGTGTGTACCATGTGAATCTTTTGTCGCAGACAGTGCAGCTGAAGCGTTTCTCCTCAGTGTGGACGGACATGTGCAGCGTCATACGTCTTTTATGTGCAAATCCTTTAGCACAAAAAGGGCAGCTGAATGGTTTCTCTCCAGTGTGAATCCTCTCGTGCAGCTGCAGAGTTCCTTTCTGGCTGAAACCTTTGCCACAGAATGAGCATTTAAATGGTTTCTCTCTGGTGTGAATCCTCATGTGTGCCAAAATGTTCCCGCTGCAACTAAAACGTTTGTGACAAACTGAGCAGCTGAACGGTTTCTCTCCCGTGTGTGTTCTCATGTGGCTCATCAGATGATCCTTACGACAGAATGTTCTGCCACACTCGGAGCAGCTGAACGGCTCCTTGTCAGTATTACATCTTGTATCACTCTCAGAGATGTTGTCATTTCTCTGGCAATTTAAATCTGAATCCACTTCCCTGATTTCCTTCGAACCAGCCTCACCGGTGCAGACGTCGGTTCTGTCGTCAGTCACCGGTGGTTTGAGTCTGTCTGGGTCGAAGCTGCGGGTCAGTTGTGATCCTGTGTGAGCGCTGCAGTCGACCTCGACCACGTTCCGATCACCGCGGCAGTTTTTCTTCTTTCCTGTGTGGATCCTCATGTGTCTGCTCACGTCTCCACTGTACCTGAAGCTTTTCTTACAGACGGAGCAGCTGAAAGGTTTCTCTCCCGTATGAAGCCTCATGTGACTGATCGAGTTTCCTTTCTGAGAAAATCTTTTGCCACAGAAGGGGCAGCTGAACGGTTTCTCTCCAGTGTGAATTCTCATGTGTGCATTCAAATGTGGTTTACGGCCGAATCTCTGTCCACACTTAGAGCAGCTGAACGATCTCTCTGAAGTGTTACAGTTCAAATGAACCCCTTTATTTTTCAAACCAGGCTGAGGTTCCCTGGTCTCCATCCGTTCATCTTCACTGTCTTCAGTCTCAGAAGAGTCTTCAGTCTTGTCCTCAGGACCTGGTTGTAAATGTCCATCAGGACCTGAGTTCCTGGCTGGTTCTGGTCCTCCACAGTCCGCTCTGTTGTCCTCAGTCGGACTCTGATGAAGCTGTGACGACTGAGGTTTCTCTTCATCTTCTTCACTCTTCACAGCGACAGGAGTAAACGTGAACTTGATATCAGCCTCCTCCAGTCGTTGAAGCTGCTCTCCCTCCTGATTGGTCCACGGTTCCTCCTGTTCCTCTTTAATGTGAGGGGGCTCTGGGTCCTCCTGGTCCACAAGGGGGCTCCACTGCTGCTGCTCGTCCTCACCAACGATCACTTGTCGGACGTCTGAAGGTAAAGAAGCTGAAACACAGAACGACACATTAAACACATGGCTGTGTTTTAAATGAAGATGGACAACGTGACGGCTCATCAACATCATCTTTATTTACAGTCTCTGATCTTTATTTTTACAGTCTCTGATCTTTATTTCTACAGTCTCTGATCTTTATTTTTACAGTCTCTGATCTTTATTTCTACAGTCTCTGATCTTTATTTTTACAGTCTCTGATCTTTATTTCTACAGTCTCTGATCTTTATTTTTACAGTCTCTGATCTTTATTTCTACAGTCTCTGATCTTTATTTTTACAGTCTCTGATCTTTATTTCTACAGTCTCTGATCTTTATTTTTACAGTCTCTGATCTTTATTTCTACAGTCTCTGATCTTTATTTTTACAGTCTCTGATCTTTATTTTTACAGTTGATAGTTAAAACTCGTTACTGTTGCTATGGTAATGCCCGGCGTCCTCACTTGGACCTCGTCGTATTAGTCACATGACTCCACGACCAACGGTAAATGAAAAGTGTTGCTTGGTATCGACATCCGACATCACGTGTGTGTGAACACACTCAACGCTTCCTGAGATCTAACATCTGGTCTGGAACATGTGGCCTGTTGGTTTAAACACTTTTTAATTTAAACTTGTTTTAATGAAACTGGTTTAAATAAAACTGGTTTTAATGAAACTGGTTTAAATAAAACTGGTTTTAATGAAACTGGTTTAAATAAAACTGGTTTTAATGAAACTGGTTTTAATAAAACTGGTTTTAATGAAACTGGTTTAGCGATGACAATAATAATTTCATAATAACTTAAATAAAACTTCTCTCTTCTCTACAGTTTTTTCTTCCTCCGACTGAAAACATCGTTTTCTTCAGTATCAGCTGTTTAGCTAACAGTAGCTTAGCATCATTAGCATTACCCCTGGATGTTTCCGGATGTAGAACTAGAACAAACCTTCTCGAAGCTTCGTCTCCACCTTAAAATCGTCGTCCATGAGCTTCCGGTCTCGCTTCATCAATCATTAAAACAAACAATCGACGCGTTTTCTCGGTATTTTCACCGGTTCACGGTTCAACTGCGCATCGTTAAAGCAGCGAAAATATGAACTATCACTTCCGGGTCTGCATTTCAAAATAAAATCCTCTTTGACGACGTCTTGGTTTCTGTTCCACTGTTTCTCTCCCGTCGCAAATTAAATGGATTCTTTTGACCATTTTAACTGTTTATATAAAGTGTTCATATTAAACCTGCTGTGGTGAAATACATACATTAATATGATCGATAATCATAATCATCACAACTAACATTCGATTGTGACTGTATCACCATGACAACGACCCCTCCATGATGCATGGACTCGGGCAACAGTATAT